CAACTCAGTTTATTTTTGTTTCTGTAAAAAGTATATATATATATATACATATTTATGCATTGTGAAAATGCAGTCCATGGTGTAAAATTGTACATATTCCTTAAATCCCTAATAATCTGTACTAAATATATGTACAAAGAACAATGCTGTCTTATTTATGTTTTGTTTACATAATGTATAGTTTTTTAAGTATTTTAGTAATTTTGGACCAGTGAACTGTTAGCAACAATGCAGAAGAATCTGCATGTAATAAACTGAGTTGCTGTATTTCTTTCTTTGAATACCGTTTTTAAAATGTGTTCTTGTTCCATTGAAAGAATGCATGTTATAAATGAAGACAGTCCTTTAAAAATATATTGAAATTGGGAAACCCTATAAATCTGTAGTAGCATTTGCATAGGCTTTACAGTTGGCAGAGCTTCCTTTCATGTATCTCACAGTACTCAGGAGTTCAGTGGCATGCCAAGCTTACTAGCTCATGGGTAGTGGAGCCAGGACTTGAATCTGATGCTTTACATTCTTTCTCCATGCTTCTACATTACTTCTGTTTTAATTTTTTCGTTCAAAATTTTACGGTTTCAGACATTTTTTTTTTAAGGAAGAAAAAGTACCATCAAATTCTATATTAACCAAAATAAATGTGTGGTGTTTGTTTTCAGATAAGTATTTGGTTTCTATATACTCAAAATATGTTCCTTAAATTTTTTTGAGGGTTTTAGCTGTGTGCCTAGGCTGGCCTGAAATTTATCATATAACCCTAGCTGGCCTTGCCTCAGCCTCCTAAGTGTGTCAGGATTTACAGACATGCACTGCCATGGTTGGAAAAGCTTAATTTGTGTTCATGGAGGTTGCAAGGATAGTGAGTACAGAGGAATAGTGTGTACCCTTCACCTTTCCCCTACGTACATTTCTTCTTACATTGAGGTCTTGTTCATTGTCACTGATTTTCCAAAATTATGTTTAAGAACATGAAATATTTTTGTCATTTAGAATTAAAAGTAAACAAAGATAAGTGCTTTAAAAAATTTCAGATTACGGAGCAATTGCTTAAATTCTGTGACAAAGCAAATTTTGTAGTTTAGCTGCTTTGACTCAGGGCTTGACTTTGTAGTACTTGAGATTGTGCCTCATTTTAAATAAAAGGTAGCTTTTATATTTATTGGACCTTTATTTCTATTATCTTATTTGAGATACTCATGTATACACATTCCATTTATAATACTAAACCTCATTACATTGCATTCTGGTCTAAAATTTAGAATGTTAAAAAGAATAGGCATAGGTCTGTGAGATGGCTCAGCAGGTAAGGGCACTTGCCAAGCCAGGAGGCCTGAGTTTGATCCTCAGTATCCACATAGTAGAAGGAGAGAACCAGCTTCAGCAATTTGTCTTCTGACTGCACATACACATACAATAAATGTTATTTTAAGAAAGGTTGGAAAGATGGGTTAGTGGTTAAGAGAGTTTGGTTCCTAGCACCCATATCAGGTGTCTCACAACCTCCTGTAACTCCAGTTACTGGGGGATCTGGTGTCGTCTTTTTGCCTCCTGGGGCACCTACACACACCCATAATTAGAAAACATAAGAGAAAGAGTAGGCCTAAAGATTGCCTTTGAGATTGCATCAAAATGGTGTTATCAGAGTAGAAAGAACAGTGAGTATTCCTAAACTATCTCAAATTTCTCAAAATTTTACACTAAGAATGTAGTACAGTGGTAGAGTGCTTGCCTAACATGCACATGGTCCAGGGTTCCTCTCTGTCCCTAGAACCACAAAAAATAAAACGTAATAGATTCTTGGGTGGGGAGAGGAGAATGGAGCTGTTTGTTTTGTCACAACATAGATCATGGCATCTTTGAATCCTTGATCCACTTGCCTCAGTACTGGGATTATAGGCATTCACCACTGCTTGCTTTCTTAAAAATATATTTATGCCCTAAGACATTATCTTTGCCAGCCATGTCTCTGGTCTGCTCAGTTGCCCACTCTTCCCTCTACTACCTTCCCTATCAGTTCTAAAAGCCTTGGATTTCAGGGTATGTGGTGATGTTTAAAGTGCATTGTTTTACACATAAGTAGTTAATCATGTTCCTAAATTATAAAGCAAAGTAACCTAGAACTATTCACCTGCTATCTCAAAAAAATTAAAACACTCCTAAAAACTAATTTATTAAATTGCCTATAGCTTAACTTTAATTCCAGTGGAGAACCGAAACTAACCACTGAATATTTTCTAGCCCCAATTCCAAAATCCTAATACAATCTTTTTTTTTCTAGAATTTCATGAGTACTATATTTACATCATTTTAACTCCTCCAGCTCCTGCCATGTCTCCCCGCTCCCTTTCAATTTCTTGTCCTTTTCTCTTATTGTTGCATACACTTCTAAATATATACATGTATGCATGTATATATACATGTAATGAACTGAATCCATTTATTGAAATTTGTGTGTACATGTGTTTAGGTCTGACCATTTAGTATTAGATAATCAGGAAGCTGAAACTGATTCTCCCTCAGCGTCCATTGATTGTAGCTCTCCATCTAGAGATGGGACTCTATGTTATTTCTCCTGATCTGCACTGGCATGTTGACTGGTTTTGTCATGCAGGTCTTGTTAGGCAGTTATATTATGAGAAGTTCGTGGGCACAGCTTCCTGTCAAGTTTAGAATGTATTTAGTAGCACATGTCCTGTTCCTGTCTCTTAAAAAGCTTTCTGCTGCCCTCTTCCGTGATGTTTCCTGAGCCTTACATGTAGGAGTTGCATTGTAGATGTGTTAATTGGGGCTAAGCACCAATGTCCACATTTTGATCAGTTGTGGAACTTTGTAATAGTCTTCATCTTTTGCAAAAAGAAGTTTCTTTAATGAGTAGTGAGAGCTATACTTGTCTGTGAATATAGGAACACACATTTAGAATATAGAACGGGTCACTGTAGCTTTGGCTTTCCTGGAACTCACTATGTAGACCAGGCTGGCCTCGAATTCAGAGATATTCTCCTGCCTCTGCCTCTGGTGTTTGGATCAAAGGTGTGCACTAGCACACATCTGGCTCTAATACAATCTTGAGAGCTGTGTGTGAACTACTGAACTTTTGGAATGGAGCCCTACTGCCTCCCTCATTTACTTGAGTCTATTGGACTATAATTTTCTTTCAGTTTCTGCAAAATTTGAGACATGTCTCCTCTCATTTTAGTGCTTGATTATAGGTTCTCACTACACCACACATCTCCCTCTCCCTGCCATCCTCCAGCCACCATCATGACATTGCAGTCACTTGCAGACTGTGGATAGCACGCCTTTGCAACTGTATTGGCAGTTATTCAGGGTCTGCTATTTTTAAGACAAATCTTGTCCGTCATTATCCCAGCCACTGGCACACAGTTGTCAGTGTATTTGTTGAATGAAAATCTAAGTCTTTTTTATATTAAGACCTAGCTTACTTTGTTTCAAGAAAGTTTTTATTGAATTTTTGTATATTTCATACAGAACATCTCAACCAATCATCTTTATAACCCCTCCCCACTGGCACCCTTCCATAGCCCCCCACTGGAATTTATACATTTTGTCATTTGTGTTAAGGCTTATTGTGTCAAATTAGTATCACCAGTTGCAAGTGCAACTACTCAGTGCAAGTTCATCTACTGATGTCTAGTCAGCCTATCTAGTCCCTCACTTTAAGAAGATCAGCTCTTCCTCTCCCTGCAGTAATCAGCTGCCAATACTCTTCAGCTAAAATTGGGGTCAGCTGTCCATTTCCCCAGTTCTATGATGGGTTTTTGCCTGTTTGAGTTTGCTTGGGTCCTGTGCATGATGACGCCATTGCTATAGGGTCATATGAGTAGAGTCCCAGGAGCTTGTAGGATTCTATTTCCGTATGGTCGTGCACCTCCTCCCTGGCTTTTATAATCTTTCCACCCCCTCTTTCGCAATGGTCCCTGAGCCCTGGGTGAGTGTAGCTTAATATAAGAGACCTGTCCTAGGACCAGCATTCTGTAGACTCTTAGTCTCTACACTTTGGCCATTTGTGACCTTTGGCTTTCCTGGCCCTCTGTTGCATAAGGGAGCTTCATTAATGAGAATTGAGATATTCATTATTGACTTTATCCCTTGTTCTTTGTTCCATGAGCCTTAGGTGTAGAGGTTGCATTGTAGATGTGCCACTTAGACTTGGGCAATTCACAGTGTGCATGACCAGTTATGTACCAGATGCAGGTACTCTGTAATCTGCATCTGGTGCAAAAGAAGCTTTTTTGATGAGTAGTGACTGGGATATTTGTAAATAAAAGGGTACATATTTTGTACATAGTAAGAAATTACATTAGGAATGTGACCATTTTGGGAGTTTTCTCTAAAATCTGTGACCACTCCAGCCTTGTGTATTTGACTATGTTTCCAGTACCACACATGAGTTTCCTCCCATTGAGTGGGCTTTTAGTCCAATTAGGTAGCTATTAATTGCCCCACAAGATAAAAGTGCCACTACAGCACCAATGTCATTGGTTGTCATTGTTGGGGTTATTTGGTCTTGAAGCTGGTGTTGGACCATCGATTGTGTTCTCCCTTAATCACCTTATATAGTGCTTTCCAAAGCTGATAGCCTTCAGAGGAAGTGGCTTCCAGGTCAATTCCAGATCCATTGCTCCAAATCCTGTGTCCAAAGTATGTTTTGTTAAGACAGTTTCTTGTTACTCAAAGTAGCCATGGGCTCACTGTCTAACTGAAGATAACCCTGAACTTCTTAATGTCCTGCCTCCACCTCCCAAATGCTGATGTCCCAGGCATGAGCTACCATGCCAGATGTGCCTGTAATTCCAGGACTCAAGAGGTTGAGATGAGAGGATCACAATTTCAAGGTTAGCCTGTGTGATATAGTGAGACCTTGCCTGGGGAAAAA